TGCTCATTCTTTTCAAAGATAGAAACTGCTAGCACTTTCTGATACGCTCTGAAGACACTTTGTATTAACAGGAAGTTCAATGGACATGTAAGTGAGAGAGAGAGTCTTGATTAGTTAAATCTAGGCAAGGTGTGAGCCTGCATAGCTCTGCTGCATGAAAAACTTTTCCAGAGTGAGTTAAGTTTATGACTTGTTCTAAAGTGAACAATTGAGAAGAAAAAACTTTAAACTAAAATACATCCAAATCCACTAAAAAGAAATAAAAGACCAAATGCTGAAGTACTGCAATCAATCAAACTGATGCGTTCGACTTTTACTGATTATTTGTAGATTTTTATAACAATCCTACACGAAAACATGATGATATTTTCTACACTCATTACACTCGTACTTATCTCGCCTGCCAATTGTATATACTCGTCAAGATTTAGCTTTAGCTCTGAAGGTCAAGAATTTCAACCTCAATTTAGTATTCAATTACTTTTGAACACAGCAGTTCGAAGTCGATTATTATGTTCTGCTGCATGTAATCAAAATCCATCTTGTCGCATATTAGATTATGATTTAAGGTCACTCCGTTGTCGACTCTTCGAATCTGATCTTACTACTGGGTCAATTATATTCTCCATCTCTCCAACATCTATTGTTGGTACCCTTATGATTTCAACATCATTATTTGCACCGATATACAATCAGTCTTGTGTAGCATGCCAAGAAAACCGGTATCAGATATGTTCATTGAATACAAACACATGCCAATGTCCGAAGAATACTTTTTGGAATGATACCATGTGTTCATTGCAATTATTTCCAAATGCAACGTGCAATAAAATCGATGCATGTCGTACCGATCTGAATCTCAGTTGTGCTATTGATTGCTATGGTAAATTTACTCAATGTTCACCAGGTATTATTCATATTAATTTAATCACTATGTCTTTTGGGAAAGGCTCAAACTGGAATGTAATTTACTTTTTGTTATCGAATATGCTGCCGCTTAGACATGAATTATTTTTCGATGGTGAAATTAAAAGCAACTTGCAAAATTTTTTGTCATAGTTATCAACAATCAAATTTTCATGACATAAGTCTTTTATTCACAATAATAGTCTCTTAGAGATCAAATTTATTTTCTGTTTTCAGATATCAATTACCGGATCTCGTAAAATATTTGAACGCTTTTTATTATACCTATTTTTTAGCATAGATAAATAATATGACCTGTTTTTTTTTCGAAAGATTATGTGATTCGACAGCACATAATCTTTCGAACAAAAAACTCAAGGTTATATCATTTATCTGTGCTGAAATATAAACACAGTAAAAGGCGTACTAATATTCTGGGACACTCACTGATACACCTAAGAAATAATCACGGTTCATTGAAGCATTGTGAATATTGGAAGACCGAAAATAGAGTTTGAGTTTTTGAATACAATGATTAGATTAACTATAATTGATTATTCAATGATAAAAGAGTGATTCAACTTTGTTGAAAGTTGTTAGGAACATTATTTTCTTGATGTAGAATCACTAGACAATAGAATTCTAGCATAAATTCTACAATCTTTGAGCTATTAGCTATAAGAATAAAATAAGTATTCATTTATTGACTTTTTTAAAATCATATATTTAGGTTCAACAACCGCGCAACCAAATGTGACCACTGCAGTTGGATCATGTAATGGACTTTGCAATCAAGTCTTGAGTAGAAATCTGACCACACTTCATTATCAAGGAGGAATATTCGCTCATAATAATGGAACTCTGTATGTAGCCGACGGTACACCTACAAATACAGTTTTTGTATTTGAGCCCAATCAGCAAATAGGTCGACCGTTGATGACTTTTGCCGATTGGCCGACTTACATTTATGTTGACAATACAACATCGAATATTTATGTGACTATTCTCAACTTAAACTTTTTAAAAATATGGCCATCAAATGCCACAATTCCACCAAGTGGAATCACGGCCAGTTGTACTCTGAACAAACTGAATGGACCCACTAATTTTGTTTTTGATTCTCTGGGTAATATATACATTTCAAGTTACTCATGCCATTGGGTGACGAAATGGGCTCCAAATGCTACAACTGGAACACATATAGCCGGATCAACAACAGGAACAGCAGGTTCTACGAATCAACTTCTCAACTTACCTTACGGTCTCGTTCTCGATGAGTCATACTCAGCACTATATGTGTCTGATCGCAACAACCATCGCATACAAAAATTTACTTTGGGTAATTCAATTGCTATAACTGTAGCTGGTGGTTATGGTGCTGGTTCAGCGTCGAACCAACTTAATCGTCCTACTACGATTATCATGTCTCAAATCGATGCTGCGTTGTATATTTGTGACAGCTACAATAACAGAATTCAAAAATGGGCAATGGGTGCATCTTTTGGTATTACTATTGCTGGAAGCGCTAATGGTATGGCGGGTAATACACTAAATTTATTCAACACACCTTATGATATATGGATTGATTCGGATGAAACGTACCTGCTCATATCAGATACTTATAATTGTCGTGTACAACGATATGCACTTCGATAAAAGAAAATTTACATATTGCTCATTTCATATTCACCGAACATAATCCGTCGCTGGGAAGAACATACAAGATGATTTTTTATGCTAATAACAATGTATCACAAAGAATACGGTTTTTAACAGATATGCATCGAGTCCGAATATTCGGACTCGGCTACAAATGCACTTTAATTTTTCAATGTATGGATGAAATCAGTAAAAAATTATAGAGAAATGAGATCGGAGAATGGCTTAGCCTCTGCTTGAAATTGGAAAGGTCTTGTCGAAACAGTATGATCTGCTAATTCGAATGCGAGTATTAGCTGTAGTTTATATAAAAAGAATCCTGAATGATCAAACAAGAAAAACAGGAAGCGTGTTCGAACATTATATTGATTTATTGGATTACCTCATAAGATAAAAATTATTAATCATAGAAATCTTTTACAATATATTTTAATTAATCACACTTGGTTGTTTTTAGGAAAAAAAAATCTTTGTTCACAGAACTGTTTCAACAACATTGAATTCAATGGTTCACTTAATTATTTTAATAAATAATATTTACATTAGCTAATCATGACTTTCAAAACGTCACTATTCATATTGATGAAACTAAAAAATCATTCATTCACTCCTCGTGATTCACATCAAATAAAACAATATATGATAATATTATGAAGTTTTAAAAACTAGTCAAAATTGAGTTTCATTTTATCTCTGTTAGAATTTTCTTTTTGACAAGTAAAGAATAATATGTGGCATGTGTCATATTTTCCAGTACATCTTACCAGATATTTCATAAAGTAGTGAGAAAATACATTTTTCTTCAGCATATTCTAAATATAGTACAACCTGTTTTTCCTCTCCAACAATAAATATTCATTCGTAATCGCTTGTCGATTGCACTATATGATATTTTTCTACTTTTGAGTAGTTTATTAATTCAATATTTGAAACAAACGTAATTCAGTAGATGTTGGCATCATTCGATGTTACTAGATGTTAACACAAAATGACAAGATACTTCATCAAGGACTGTTATTACTATTCAAGATGTTTTTGTTTCTATTTAATGTTCTCAGCTATTCCATCTCCACTTACATGTGTTATTATATTATGGAGGTTTTTATTACTCATACGGCTAGAAAAAAAACGCTCACAGTTCAGAATGAGGAGATGCTCACATTAAGAGACTTTATTGTATTTTCTTTATATATGATCTATTCGATCAATGAATTATTATTATTCAACAAACACTACTAAAAATTATTCAAAGAAATGTATTTGTTTTTGATACATTAGATAATGTAGAGGATTTTTTTCTTCTAACTGACTACTAAAACAAAAATTTCTAACCTTGTAATCGGATAATATTTGAGATTTTTTATGTAGTATATTTTCAAAATCAAAAAGTTCTATTTAGTTTCTACATTTGATATGTATGTTCTTAACATTTAACTTTCGAACTTGATTAAAAATATAAATTTTATTTCAAAGTTATTTAAATGTTTGAATGATGAATAGATACTCTATTGCCTGAGTCTTGAAATCTTTTTGTAATAATCAGGGTACGGAGTGTGGGTGTGGATGGATGGAAGGCTAACATTCCCAGCCATAGCTACTTACACATTTACACCCTACAGCCACCCCCTTATTGGTATTTATATGTCACTGTATTGACGAGCGAAGAACGATCATTTATCGATCGTAAATGCGATATATTTCATCAGTCAATAGATAGTGCACACTTGTCAGAAGACTTTACTTGCTCTGACTTACTTCCTCATATCGATCATAATGAACATGGCCGATTATCGCATAATTCTTCCAACAATGTCGAATTTGATTTGACCGATCGTTCAGTTCTACATATATTCATTAGGATTTTAACGGACAAACCATTAATATTAACATTAGAAAAAACAATGTCACCATTCAGCAATTTAAAGAAATGATTCGTCGTAGTGTTGACATTCCATATCCTGCAAAATATGATTTTCGACTTATACATTTGGAAGCGACACTTACCAATGAGAAAAAGTCGCTTGATGAGTATCTAATAAATGATCAATCTCTTATCTATCTAGATTTTTCAGAATACCCTCTAGCAATACGAAAAATTGGATTTCTCAGATTTCGCTGACCGATCGGGTTTCAAGAATTCCTGGATTCCTTCAGTTTCTAGGGTTCTATTGATTTCTGAAGTTCCTTGTATTCCTTCCGTTTCTTGTATTGAATTCGATGCTTGAGTTCCTTGAGTTTTAGAACTGTTTCACTTCCCACAACTGCTTCAGTTCTATGCGTTTTTAGAGTTTCTTGAACTTCTTTTGTTTCCTCATCTTGTTCAGTTTCTTAAAGGCTTACTACTAATGAGGTGCTACAATTTTCTTGAAGAACAATGTCTCATTTGTAGCACTTTCACGTGAGAAACAGGATATTTTTGACCACAATGGTGGTTCCTTTTCTTTTTCGCCTATTGTAGTGCTTCCTAATATTCAAGTTGATGCCCGGTGGGCACAGAGTGAAATGACCATTTCTGGAGATCATAGGCCTGGCAATGCTATCAAAAAACTCTACTGGCCTCACGGTCTTTTCATAGATGACCATCAATCGATAATCATCGCCGATTAAATGAATCATCGTATCATTAAATGAAAAACGGGTGATACTGATGGACGAGTCGTAGCTGGTGGCTATGGCCAAGGAAATCGACTGAATCAATTGTCTTATCCAACCGACGTCCTGATCGAAAAAGAGACAGATAGCCTGATTATATGTGATCGAGGAAATCGAAGAGTCTTGCGTTGGTCTCGCCGTAGTGACGCAACTTAAGGAGAAGTGCTCTTTGAAAACATCCATTGCTGTGAATTAGCCATGGATGATCAGAGACATCTGTACATCTTTGACATCCAAAAACACGAAGTGAGGCAGTATCAAATAAAAGACAAAAATGGAACTATCGTGGCTGATGATCATGGCAAAGGTGACGATCTCAATCAATTGAACTGTTCGACCTACGTCTTCGTCGATCAACAACAAGCTGTCTACGTGTCAAACAACTGTAATCATCGTGTCATAAAATGTAATAAAGGTGCAAAAGAAGGAATTGTCATTGCTGGAGATCAAGGCAAATGGTAGGCTCTGACACAATTATCCTATCCACAAGGACTGTTCGTTGATACTTTAGGCACTCTTTATGTGGCAGACTGGGGAAATCATCGACTGATACGTTGGCCTAGCGGAGAGAAACAGGCCACTGTTATGGAAGGTGGAAATGGTGGAGGAAATAATGGATAACGAAGTAGATATAGTTATTCAAGATGAACGAATTTTATTTGTATTGCTATTTGTTTGTGTGCGCGACCAGGAAGCAACTGGGTGTCTCCCTGAAGACCGCACACACAGGGGGCAAACTCAAATCCATATCACATGTATATAAGTTGCGAAATGTCTAGCTGTGTGCTACGTTCACTGTCATGTTGCCTAGGTGAGCTTGTAAGGTTTGGGAACAAAGATTCTTATCTTCAACCTACTCTCACTTTGATAAACTTGTTGTCATCACTCATTTGATTAATCAACTAAATATCCTGACTCATTCCTCTCCCTCCTATACTCGCTCTCAAACATAAATGGAAAGATAAAACAACTCACTTGATTCACATCAGACACTTAAAAATTAGAATAGCTGGAATACAAAAAAACCATCGACTCATAGGAAAAACATAACTTACTGCATTTTAAATTTATGTTTAAATTAATCTTGAATATAAAAAAAGAGTGTGGATATGGATAGATGCGTTTGCATACAATACGAATAACGGCTACGATAGTTAGCAATTAGATAGTAATTTCTTCAGATCATATTCCATAAAATCGCACTATAGTAGGATTTCACTAAGTTGTTCCATTAAAAAAAAATCTTAAGCAAAATATGATAAGAAATAAAATATTGCATGTTTTGATGAAAAATTTGAAATTTCTTAATTCGAATAATAATTTTTTAAGTCACTATTAATAATATAGTGCACACTTTGATATACATCGTCCTGTGTTGGAATGTGTATAACTATTGCCCATTTCAAAAAAAAAAATGCGGGTGGGTGTTTTTTGAATAACTTTTGAACGAATTGAGCTAGAGAGTTGCGGTTTTCACCATTGCAAAGAGGAGATGAAGACACATCGAACCATACATGAAAACATTGTTCTAAATACTTTCCTAACACTTGTAGTCAAACGTTTCCAAAAAATTGTTTTTTTTTCTCATACGTTAAAAAAACCTACAAAAACGTAATTTTTTTCAATTTTTTTGTTGAAATAATTGGGTGGTAAATTGCACTCCATCGGCTAGGATATCTTATTGATAGTGGTTAGAAATAAAATGTTTATATAGTTTTGTAGCTCTTCATTTGGTGGTTCTAGCACACTCCTGAAAACCAATAAATTCATATCACGACTATGGGAGACATGCTGTTTTTGTAGAAGCTTTTTGTAGAATTGTCAGAAAAGTATTCAGAAATTTTTTTTCATATATGGTTCAACGTATCTTCATCTTCTCTTTCCAATAGTGAAAACCGAAGCTCTCTATTTATTGATCGTAGATAAATAATAAATCAAAGCTATTTTCAAACTTGCCATTAAAGGACTACATCGAAAATTCTAAGCGCAATTTTGAAAAAGAAAAACCAAGAATAAACATGTAATCAATTATCTTGTCAAAAGAGTTGAACCTATTCATACAAATTAAGACCAAGCACTATACCTGCAAACTTTGATAGGCAGGTAATTCTTTAAAAATCAATTTGTAAGTACTATTGACAATTTTTATTGTGTGTAATGCTATTGGTAAAGAGTATTGACCTAGATAGGAATATTAATAAAGCGACAGACTGCTAACATTTTCTTTATGTTTTGCGTCTTCATTTCTGTTGTCAATGAGATTTGTTATATCTATGCTTAAGATATTTTGCAAGCATACAAAATGCATGCATAATCACTTGCTACTATACTGTGCTTAATCTCTTCTTTCTTGAGACAGCTACGATAAGAACAGTACGAAATGCATATATGTGAAGCAATATAGTGACTTTTTCTTCCGTCCAAGGAAACAAATTTCTTGTAATTAGATTTCTCCAGAGTTCATCAGGTTTGTGCATATATCTAATTTATTTGACAAAATCAGTATCGTATTCATTTGAGAAATCAAAATGTCATGTACATTAAATAATCTTAAACTTCAATGAAGATCATTCCCAATGAAACTAGCAGTAACAAAGTCTAATATACCCTGCCAAACTTAGCTTTCTCATTGGCCACCAGCCAGAAGGTATTTACGCAGATTGAGTCGTTTTCACCAGTTCGACACGAGATTATCGATCCAATTTAACACTTCGCTTATTCTTGATTTTACATGTCAACAATGTATTTTAATGAGATTAACGTATTACAAAAAAATATCTTATAACATCTCATACTATCTCAGAGAAGACGTAAAAATTAGCGTTTTCTTTTTAGTTTGAACAGTATACATCCTTATCCAACTAGTCTATTCTATTGTGATTTTTAAATCGCAAAATAAAATTCTTTCTGAGAGTCTATAAAAGTAATAAAACAAATCTTGTAATAAAATCATGCTTCGAAGTAAAATACAGTCTTTCACACATTTGATTACAAAAAAAGACAAAGTCATAAAGAAATAGATTTTAGCGTTTGCGCACATTGTATGGCGATAAATCAATTCATTTCGCTTATCTAAAACTCAGAATGTAGAAAAGAATATTTGTATCTTGATAAAAATTAAAGCACTTTGAAAGCATAAATGTTTGTAGCAATATCGATTACTCTGTTGTATAGAGATGAAATTCGATTAGATCGAAGAATTCTTTTATTCTTTCTATTTGTACTTCAATACCATCATTCATTAGGGATCTTATTGTAGTGTTTCAGTCCATATTTTGTTTTAATTTAAAAAAGAGCTTTGCCTATGATGCATAAATGAGATATATTTAGAACGTTACAATATTGTTTAGTTTCTGAGAAAGAGAGACTAGACCTACTGTCAAATGGTCTCGAATCATTAGAACGAGCGTAGAAAGAATTGATAACTTTTGTTTCGTGTTCCATTTCCAAAAAACGAACCATCTTGAATAAAAAATCAGCAAAAATATCGGCGGATCGAATGAGATTTCGATTAAAACTTGAAAATCCTGGTCTTATTTCAATCTCGAACTCCTGACATATTCGAAGTGAGCTTAGTAGAATGATGACTCTGTGGATGCGTGGTTAATAAGAGTGAGAAGTAGATATACATTCACTTACGACAGACTTTTTAGTAATCTTATTCCTCTATTCTTTTTAAGTATAATTCTCGTGCAAAAACTCAAAAGTTCAATTGCTGAAACTGAATCAGAATCTCATAGCAGATACGTAAAGTAATAGAAAGAAACCAATATGAAAGACTTTCGGCGTACTAGGGAATCAGCGGTTGACTTAAAGATTATGAGAGACACGTAGAATCAATAAGAGACAAATCAGTTGATTTCTTTCCTATTACATAAACACGATCTCATTTGTTTTTCTCTTTAAATTTTTCCTTATTTCAGCATTATCGGTCGCCTGACAGTCGACATGCACCGTCTCATTACAGGATTCGTCCTTGTTGGGCTTGTAGTCACTGTTTCTACTAATGACTTTCTATTGAAGTCAACGGAGCGTATCGACTGTTATCCGGAACGTGAGTCTTCATTTTCAAACTATTCGAAAGAAGCTTGTCTAGCACGTAATTGTCTATTCGACGATAATGCACCGCCAAATGTTATCCAATGTTATTTACAATCGAATTATGGATACATTTTACAGCCAGATATTCAACAAACAGAAAAAGGTATTCGTTTACGACTACGACGAAACCAAGCTATTGCTAGTATGTTTCCTGAACCTATCAACAATGTTATTCTCGATGTACAATATTATACCAATGACATACTGAGATTCAAATTGTATGATGCAGATAATCAACGATATGAGGTATGATTTTTAATAATTATCTTAAATTGAATTCTATTACTTTCCTATTGTCAGGTGCCAATACCCCTAACTGCACCATCTGATCAAGTATCATCACCTCAATATGAATTCCTATATTCGTCGAATTCTTCGCATGACAATATATCATCATTTGCAGTTAAACGTCGCAGTGATGAAGCAATATTATTCGATACATCACCTGGAGGTCTTGTACTGAATAATCAATTTCTTCAAATAGTCACACGACTTCAATCATCTCATGTATATGGATTTGGTGAGAATAATCATGATACTTTGAAACATAATGTCAATGAACATAAATCATGGGGTATATTTGCTCGTGATCAAGGTTAGTTATATCAAAAAGAACAACTAAATGATCAATAATAATATTACATATGTTGATTGTTTAGGTACTAATTGGGATCAAAATGCAAACCATTATGGTTCACATCCATTCTATGTTGTTATGGAACAATTGTCAAATTCTGATCAATTACCATCAGGTAATATGCATGGTGTTCTGTTGCTCAATTCCAATGCAATGGATTACTCATTTTCATCGTTACCATCATTAACTATACGTACTATTGGTGGTATTCTCGATTTTTTTGTATTCCTTGGTCCAAAACCCGAACAAGTCATTCAACAATATACATGGCTTGTTGGTCGATCGATTCTTCCACCTTATTGGTCATTGGGTTTTCAGCTTGCTCGTTGGGATTACTCAAATTTAACACATATGCAAATGGTTGTTAAACGAAATCGTGATGCTGGAATACCACTTGATGTTCAATATGCTGATATTGATTATATGGATGCAAGAAAAATTTTTACTGTTGATCCGGTTAATTATCGTGGATTGAAAGAATATTTTGCTCAATTAAATACTGAAGGAGTTCGAACCATTGTTATACTTGATCCTGGTATGATTGATGATCAAATATATTATCAACCAACAGTTCAAGGCATTCAAGAAGATATTTTCATCAAATGGGATGATAGACAAACATTAGTAAAAGGATCTTGTTGGCCAGGCGATGTATTCTTTCCAGGTTTGTTTTTCAAATTAACTTTGATTTGTTTCCTAGAAGAAAAATTTAAGTCTTCTCTATCGAATAACATCTTAGTTTCCTTTTTTATTGTATGAAATAATATTTCTGCCGATGTTACTTGCATTTCATATCAAATTTTTTTTTGATCATTGTGTTCTACTTCATTATGTTATTGTAAACTTAAAACTTATTGATTCGGGAGAAGTTTTTTATAAAAAGAAAAACTCCACAAACAAATGACTTTCGCTGATTTCAGTTCAAGTAAGATAGCAGAAAAAAAAATGCAATATAATTTTTGAAAGCAAATAGTGCATTGAGCTATGAGAGTATAAAATTTGCTTGTTTCAAAAAGAAACAAATTCATGATATTTTTGTTCTACTATAAGATGAAGTCGAAAACAATTTTCTTCCATAATCAAATAGAGTTTAACTTGCAAAAAAAAGTTTTTCAAGCTTTGTTTACTATATTACTATTTACATAGAAATCATGTTCTTCTGATTTCTTTTTCCCACATAGATTACTTTCTCAATCGAACTTATGTTTGGTGGTCACGTATGATAACTGATTTTCGACGAGTCAATGTATCATTTGATGGACTTTGGATCGATATGAATGAACCGGGTATGTATTATATGTTTATAAGGAAAACAAATATTGAGAGTAATCTTTATAGGATTGAATTATGAAGCATAATTCTTTCTTTATATATTTTATGATTGTTTCACAGATCGGAACATCTTCAATAGAAGAGTCTAGTTTGACATAAGAGACTTTCTAGAAGTCTTCAAAAATATTTTTTTAGAATATATTAATCATTCTTTTTCTTTTGTTGACAGCTCTTTTTGATACAAATAATGATGTTCCATGGAATTGGATGTTAACTGGTAGTAATCACACATTAAAATGTTCAAATAATCAATGGGATGATCCACCTTATCGAACCAAAGCTGTATATCGTTATGATGGTAATTGGGATCGAGTTGCTCGTATTTCCGATCGTACAATGTGTATGTCAATTCGACAAGGTGACATTGATCCGAGAACAGGTCAACCTAAATATCTTCATTATGATGTACACAAGTATGAAAAAATTATTGATAAATAATTCGAAAATATTAAATTTTATTTAACTCTAGTTTATATGGATGGAGTCAAACAAAGCCAACATTAGATATAATGCGATCAATAACTGGTAAACGAAGTTTAGTTTTACCTCGCTCGACTTTTGTTGGTTCGGGTCAATGGAGTGGCCATTGGTTAGGAGATAATGATGCAACATGGCATGAAATGAAAAGATCAATAATCGGTATGGTTGAATTCAATTGGTTTGGTATTCCATTTAATGGTGCTGATATATGTGGATTCGGTGGAAGACCGAGTGAAGAAATGTGTATTCGGTAATAATTCGATGCGATGTTTTCAATAATTCATAATTACTTGTTTTTCTCTAGTTGGATGCAAGTTGGTGCTTTCTATCCATATTCCCGAAATGTAAATTTAACATATATTAATATTCCAATAGAAGAATATTCTATTCTTTTTTTTAGCATAATGTTCGAGATACACCAGATCAAGACCCAGCATCATGGTCTGAATCAGCTGTTGCTATCATGGTTTCTGCACTTCGTATTCGTTATACTCTACTTCCTTATTATTACACACTTTTCTACAAAGCACATACACAAGGTTCAACAGTAATTCGACCATTATTTCATGAATATCCAATGGATAAAGTTACATTGGATATTTTTCTTCAATTTCTAATCGGATCACATGTTATGATAGCACCTGTCACTGACGATGGTGCACAAGAAGTTCAAGTTTATATTCCATCATTGCCATGGTACAATTATTATAATGGTTCAAGAATTGCTGTACATAATCAATCGATAGCAATGGAAGCACCTTTAAATATGATTCCCATATTGCTCAAAGGTGGAGCTATACTACCTACACAAGGCTTTGCTAATAATACAAAACTTTCTAGGTAAATAAACGAATAACTTTTGATGTTCGAATTATTTCTTTAAATTTTCGAATACATTAGAGAACAACCATTTGGTCTCACCATTGTGATTGATTCGAATGGAAATGCTGACGGTGATTTATTCTATGATGATGGTGAATCAATCGATACAGTTGGTTCGAAAACTTATTTTTATGCAACATTCCATTGGTCATCAAAAGATGGTCAATTGACGATGAATATTGATCAAAATAACTATTCACATATGTCAAATTTGATTTTGGATTCGTTAACTTTCTATGGACTTGACTCGATACCAGCCACAATTCATGTGAAAGGAAAACAATTTCGTCCAGTTGTACGACCTAATACAAACATTGTTGAAATTACTGGTTTGGGATTATCAATGGGTGAAAATCATGTTTTCACAAGCAAAGGCATGACTGTTTTCGCTCATCATTATTTACTTTTCGTATGCTTTATTATTTGGGCTATACAAGGTATGTTGATCAAGCATTGAATTTGACGTAACTAAATGCAGCATCATAATCACAAATTGACCATGAAGTTCAAATTTTGTTTTCGTACTTTTCTTTGCTAATGCATCAATAAGTGTTTTCATTGCTTAATGGTTTTGCTTGTTATGACGATCTACGATTGATTTTTGAGAAAAGTAGCAGCGTCATACTTTTATTCTAAACAATTCATAAAAGCTTGATCTTTAGTTAGTTTGAACCGCAAAATAAACTCCTCTTTAGATGTATACGTCACTCTTTTTTTTCACTCGATGTTTCTTATTTGTCGAAATGTTCCTGCAAATGAGTGCCTAATTGCTTAATAAGATAAATAAACATACGATCATCAACAGTAAGTCTGTCAGAAAAAAAAAGCGTTGCCAATCATTCTGTAGCATTTTATCACTTATCATCGTGCTTCAGTATAGGATTGCGTACTAGTCGATTTTAACTGGTACGCTTGTTTGTAATCTAATTTTTCTATAGCAATTATGAAAATATTTTAATTTGTCTTTCGGACGGTTGACCAACTGTTGAAAGACACTTTTCGAGATGGCCTGCATCTCTAATAAACAGCTTTTCTTACTTCGTACTAAACTTCTTAGTGATTATATCAAAAAAAAATAAAACTCTTAATTTCCTAAACACACTGTATGATGTTTATGTTCAATAGAACTTGGACAATACGACAAGGACATTTTTACTACAAAGGCTACAAAAATTTGAGTGTGATAAAATATTCTTAGACATTCTTATATCATAGCCATCAATATCTAAAACATTACCATAATGAAGAGGATGTCATATTATGTATAAAAAGAAAGCAAATACAATTATGACAAATGATCATGGAATGTGAGACAAAGACGATCATTGGTTATGTGAAATAGTGCGATGGTTTTGTCTGAAAACGTTCTCCTATAACATAATTCGAAGGATTGAGATGAATACACAAGCATGATAGTAGGTGTGGATCTTTTTCTCAATGAGTTACATGCTTACATTCTCAAGATAACTATATAATGCAATATAAGAATTAAATAATTCATTACGATGAAGTTACTTCTAGTCGAGGTTGAACACTCGTCACCAACGAAATGAGACTACGTTCTTGATACAAAAGCTCGAAACTAAAATAATTCTGTAATTGACATTGATTCAAACCAAGATGTTCAAACACAATGAACCTATTGATGATCTAGTCCCGAAGTCTATAAACTTCGCGTAGATTTTCTTTTATAGCATTCCATCTCGTTTCATACGAACAGAAACTAGTTTCTAAAGAGATTGAAGATTTGAATCTTTTGTTTGCAAAATATCATGAAATTCAGAACAATTAAGATCATTAGAAACAATTAACCACTGTCTGTTACAAAAGAATGCGTTCGTCATAGTTTTCTATAGTCTGACATAAAATGGTCTTTTTAACTTGTCTTTGAATGTATATGTCTTTTATCAATTCAATAAGTCTTGATTTACGTGAACAATTCGCATATATTTTTTCTATCATCCAACAAAATGCACCAACAATTATTAATATTATGGTCAATCCGACGATTACTAGATAGATCCATAGTTGATTTAAATAAGATTTTCCGTCAGGAAGATCCCAGACCACTGATGTTACACTTTCTCGTTTGTAGAAGCATAGGTAGTGTACACCAATCTATGAAATATAACCAATGAAATCATTTAACTTATAAATGCAAAGATAGAATCTGATACCTTCGCTTGTTTGTGCAGTGCAAGTTCTTCATAGCTTATAAAACTACTATGAACAAGCGTTCCATTAAAAATAGAATATAACATGAAGAATTGTTCATCAAAACATTGATAAGTATAACATGAATCTTCATCACAATTTTGACATTCATGTGTGACAAATGTATAATTCAATAAAAGACAGCTTGTATTTGTATAAAGTTCATGTGTACGACGCTCCTTTACGTACTCAGGAGCTGCAATAGAACCCAAAATGATGCCACTAATAACAAGAATCGATAAAATAAGCAATCCAGAATACAAAGTCAACAGGCCTATTGAATAACATGTAGTACCGCACGTCTTACTCATCTATGGATTTGATGTATAGCATTTGTACTAAAAACAAGTTTGCGCAGAGTATTTATTCATATGAACAATAGGAAAAAAAACAATCATGTACAAGCAAAATGATAATAAATAATATTAAGATTAAATGCAGCGCAAGTTATTTGACACGAACGAACAAAAAATATCAGTCGCTTTAAGCTTTCTGAAATTATGAGGACGTGATAAAACATTTCAAGTGGGTAGGCAGAGAGAGAAAAGATCATTATATTCGAACACAAAAGAAAATCTATTATTGCCATTTTAATTCAAGAAATTTTTGAATGTATATATGGCTGAATGAAGAAAAGATTATCAAAAATATTGGTCATCATCACACTCACAGCCATACCCTCGTAAATTCAAGGTTACATTAGACGCATCGAATACGACGTCATATAAATTGAAATATTTTTTAATACACGAAGTGCTAGCTATACTCAATTCGAAAATTAAACGTATAATCATATGTTCAGATATACGATATAAAAATGATTCGAAGTTCATGAAACTCATCTAACTACTGCACGTTCTACGAAAGTAACCATATATAAAGATTGTTCCATAAGTTTTGGATCATTTTTGTTTTTTTTGTACTCTTCGAATATATATCAAGTCGAGAATATACGGAAAAAATATATATTTGTAATAGCTGAACTATCATAATATATATTGTTTTCTCTATTATTTTTATTAGAGTGAGAAATATATTACCCGCACATTGATTGTGTTCTTATGAAATCTAATGCTTAAAGAATGAAAAAACAAATTTGGTAACATTATTACAACACCTTCATTAATAGCCTATCTCCTTAATAAAGATGTCAAGTTAAGTATAATAAATTTTAAATAATAACTTACATATTACTCTAAAACATATACTTGGAAATACCATATACATACATATAGAAACTTATTAATATTATCTAACTACGGCTATTTGCTTCGTTCTCATCTATGCTGATGTCAACAAACAAAAAATAAAAAAATGTAATTCTATATTGGCTGTTTCCGAATGAAATATATTTTGATTGAAGCATTCAAATTCAAAGATCGACTCGTATGCAGCTACTCGTGTTGGTTGCCTATCTATCAAGTCTATTAACTCTTACCTGACTATACGAAAAGCAATACAATAAGTTGCGAATGAAAATATTGAGTTATGCATGAATAAAAAATAATGAAAAGGCTATAAAAAAGAATCGATTACTACTATGCGTACAAAAAAAACACTGACATCATCATATAAAAAATAAATGATTGAGTAGACAAGTCACCGATACGAATGAGGAAGTTAGTATAAATAAAAGGAAGATGAACAAAGTAGAAAAATTTTTTTTCGAGAGTGACCATATGACAATATAAAAATAATTCAGAACTAGAATACTCAATTTACGGGAATATTCTAAACCAACAACGAGTCATGAAGCTTTGAAGCACATGACCTGCTGAAATATGTCAAATAAAACTCATAAAACACGTTTCTTTTTATTTTAATGGGTCCATCATAAAATTTATATCTTTATTTGTTTCTATGTTAAGAGAATGTTATATTGAGTAAGTTGTAAAACTTTGTTACGACTTACTACAGACACAAAACGCTAGTCAATCATGCAATTGTTTGAAAATATCGAAGAATACAAAATATGCTACATTAACTGCACAATTGAAGAAGAGAAAGGATGAAATGAAATATTCTCAACTTTTATACATAACATATTTATTCGTCTAGCCTGAGCGACGTCAAACAATGTAGAGAAATAACACGAAAATTTCTCTATTATCGAGATAAATATAAAGTTGTCTTAACATTAACAGAGAAGGCAAACGAATCGTTGTATTTCAATTGATTCTATTTAGTTATCAGCATTTATTCATTTTTGATATGATTTTAAAAAAAACATATAAATCATTCTCCATTGTCTCCAATCCTAGATTTCTTTTTTTCATCTCTTTTTAATTATATAATCTACACAACTTTCAATACTAATTCATGACCAAATGAAAATATCAACAATTTTAATAAATCTAAGACAAGATAATCCTTAATGTGACAATGACATTCTTGATATAACAAATATCTCTTGACACTCAAATGATGACGAGATATTCATGATTATATAGAAATAAACATAAATTTAAAGAAAAAAACATCCTTGAAAATTTCTGTGATCTCACAAGTATTAAAAAATATAACATTTAACCAGCACTGCTACATTGTAAGTTGATCATAATCAAAATTAAACTTGGATGTAGAATAACAAATAAAAGTGTTAAAAAAAATAGTCGAACGTCTTTAAAAATATTGTCATTTTTATCATTGTTAAAGAATGATTGATCATCCTGAAAAAGAATTTAGAGTAATTTATTGCATTTAAACGTACTGATTTGTTTTTCAGAAAATGAGAAATAAAGAGTTATTGTTGAACGTTATCAAGAAGTCATGCGGAAAAACATGTTTTCTTAACTGATCGTTTTGTGTTGACTCCTGTTGCTGTCATGTAACATGGTTAAATGTGTAAATTTTGAAAATTAACGCGTTTTAACAATAGTATTTCCTTTAAATGACGTTATTGTGAAACCCTAACGAGTTCAAATATGTTTTTAACGGTCTTGTCTACCTGAGTCGATTTAATTTTTACATATGCATCATTGACGTATTTGATTGCTTCGTATTTTATGGCCGTGTAAGTAATCTACATGCTCTGTTGTTAAAACAAGCGGACCAATTCACTATACCTACGAACTGGTGCATTGGTCAATGGAAATCACTTTCGGTCTAGTTATCAATTCGAATGAAGATGTTCAAACATAAACGACCCATCATCACTATGCTTATAAATACAATGGGTTATTCGATAATCTTGTTCTTAAGTCGATAAGGTTCTCATAGATTGTCGTTTATAGTATTTGATTTCGTTTCATTCGAATTAAAATTCATTCCTAAGAAAAGTGACTTTTTCAAAAGGTTTTGTAAAATATAATTGGTAATGGATATTAAAAATAGTTATGAAGTGTGAGTAGGTCAAAGAGAAGATCATCATCATATATATTTTCATGATATTTATTCAGAATTATAAATATTTTTCGCATGTACGTAAAAAATTTAGAAAAATAAAGTCATTAAACGTGATTAACCAATATCTCTTACAAAAGGATGCGTTCGTCAAAATTTTCTGTGACAGGACGTAGAACGATCTGTTCAGTTTGTCTTCGAGCATATATGCCTTTGATTACTTCGGTGAGCTTCGAAATACATGAGCAATCTTCACATATTTTCCTTGATATCCAACAACACACACCAAAAATTATTAATACAAGACCCAATCCGACAATTCCGAAAAAGATGTTTAATTGAATTACAAAAGATTTTCCATCAGGAACATTCCACACCACTGATGTTACATTCGCTTGTTTGTAGAAGCATGGATAGTGAATTCCAATCTATGAAATAGAATTGGTAAGACTATTTCATTTTTAAATACAAAGATAGAATTCGATACCTGTATTTGTTTGTGTGATGTGGCTTTACCATAGATTACAAAAGTACTATTAACAAGCGTACCATTGAAAATAATATATGACATAAAGAATTGTTCATCCAAACACGAATAAGTAGAACATGAATATTGAGCACAACTTTGACATTCACGTATGACAAATGTATAATTTAATAAAAGACAACTTGTATTTGTATAAAATTCACGTGTACGACGCTCATTTACATAATCAGGAGCTGCAATAGATTTTAGAATGATGCCAATTATGAAAAAAGTCGATACAATAAGCACTCCAGAATACAAAGTCAACAGACGTATCGAATAGCATACAGTACCATACAGTTTATCCATGTTTGAAGTTTATGTATATCACAGTATCAAAACTAACTTCAAATCGACTATTTACTCATATAATTTGTCGAAAAAAACCAAGAACCGTATGTGCGAGCAGTGATGGTAAATTATTTTATGCTTCAATACAACGCGGCGTATTTGACAGAAACGTAAAAAAAAAACATATGTTGATTGTTTTAAGGTATCTGAAACAAGGCTGAAATGATCGAAAATTGCACATGGGTAGACGGCGGAGAGAAAAAAGTTCGATCGAAAAAAAAATTGTGTAACTCATAACAAAATAAATATTCAATTCTTTTACCTCAATAAAATATTTATGTGAAACAGTTGAATAAATTAAAACTTAAAAACAAACATACAAAAGTTACTTTAGAAAACTTTCTCAAGATATATGTGATCGAATGAAAAGAAGATAAACACGAGAATTCACATTCTCATATCCATTAATCAAACCATTGTAAATTCAGAGCGGCATTAGGTGAAACAAACTGTTTTTCAACTCAAAATACTAAGTACAACTATATAAACGAATATGTTTACATGTAATGTTTCGAAAAGAATGATGTTGACACAAATAGAGTAGCTTTCATACTTATTTTCAAGTATATTCTTTAGTTTCCTTATCTTTTTCATTTTAATCGGCCGACCTAATCGTCGAATGAAAATGATTCAAACAGTAATGTGATAACTATTAAAAATGACGCAAATGCACAGTCAAATCTTTTTTCTATCTTCTCTGACACATAAAATCGGATTCTTGATAATAAAAATACATATAATTATCACAAATATTCGAAGATTCAGTAGTTTGCATGATACCATTTGAACTCACACTTGTGTCACATGCTAGACTGACATTTACGATTCCTGAAATCAATCGAAAATTCGAACAAAAGAATTTCTAAATAAATAAAAAACAAACATAAGACCTCGTTCTTATTTTCATCAGGCAAACATTATTTTACAATACATTTTTAGAAATCTTGACAAATTCTTTAGAACGAAGTACTTCACATATGCACTAAATTGCTTTCATTTCCTGTGATCACAACACTTAATCATAAGTTATATAGAAAAGAAGTACAATAAGTTTAATTATCATAAGTATTCGTCAAGGAAAATAGTTGAAAGACTGATAGTAGTGAGTGAAATTATCAAGGAGAAAATCAATCTATAAAAATATTTGTCTTTGACGTAACTTGCCATCAAAAAGACAAAATCTCTTTGAGTAAGGAAATAGACATTTTTTGATAGCGATATATATGTAATAATGTGTGAAATGTCCCTTGCATAAACATTCGTATTTTATAGATCTTCGCCATTATTATCTTCGATTTCATAATCTAATATCGTCTGTTCATCGACTTCTCTGATGAGTACTTTGTTGATTGCCTTATGTATAGTTCGTTTAGGTGATTCGTATTCATGGTCAAGTTCGAGTTGCATTCGTTTGATTATTCCCGAACGAGTATCTACTATCCAAGAAGCATTCCATTTTTTATTTCCAGCTGCTCTATTCAAACAGATACCATTCCGACCATCGATATATGCTATGTGTTGTTCATGATCAATTTTGATCAGCTCATAATGAATTTCAAAAAGATTACTGATCATTTTAACGGACCATTTCTGTCCTTCGTAAAACATAATATTTGGTGTCATCAAACTTTCCGGTGACGGAAATAACATCCATGAATAACCGAATGGATGATCTCGAGTTCGAAAATCACCAGATAGTTCTTGTTCTTCTAGACGATCAAAATAAGGTCGTTTCAATAATCGACCCATTTTAGTTGTATTTTGTGGTTCCATTTTTACGTTCAAATTGATGATGTGAATTTTAGATTTGTTAATGGCAACGATCTTTTCGACACTTTCCGTTTCTTGTCGTTCAATGATTCGTTCTATTTCTGGAACATGATGTTCGATTTCAATCGTATGATAGAATAATCTTTGATAAAGTGGTGGTCGAAATCTTAAATCAACGGGCATTTTCACTCCATTTTGAATAATTCCAAAGAGAAAATACCATTGTAAAGGACCATCGAGCATCTTGGTTTGTATTTCAATATGTTCAAAGAAACAAAACTAAACACTGCTATAATGTTTTGATGACAGACGAAGGAATCGACATGGCATGATTTGCATGCATTAAAAATCACAATGCATTTTTATCAAAATAACTTTTTTTTTTAAACGATTGTGAAAGAGCATTGAATTTAAGTGTTTGCTTTTTTTTATTATTCTTCTATAGAGAATTTATGTTTGTAGTAATGCATTGAAGCACAGTAATGTGATGAAAACAATTATCGTTTTGAAACTCTACGAATTAGAGTCGCATGTTGAATGCATTCTTTATGTTATCTTCATCTATGAGAAAATAAATGAGATTAAACAAAGCTCCGTCAAAGAAAATTTATCTTTGACGAAGAAATATTGATGATAAAAGTATTGCTAACAAATAATTACTATGTGAAGTAATTGATCTTTTTGATTGTGATTTCGCAATAAAAACAAAATCGAAAAGAATTATTGTCAAAGTTTATCACTTCTGCAATTTTCTAACTCAAATTTCAGAGTATTAGAACATCAGTTTCGAGCTTCAGGAGACTCTTTACTAGTTAATAAATTTTATTGTATCTTCTCGTACAAAAATAAACTCACTCGAATTTCTTTATTGATATTGCTGATAAAAAAACAAACACATTACATCTATCGCCATACCATTTAGCGTTTCTTATGTGTTTTCTAGAAGTTCGAACCGCGGCTTTAGCTTTGTTATGATCAAGTGTTGAGCATGTGTCTATTGTTTGCTACATAATTTGATCATGTCGTTTTCGACTATCGTCCTATTATTAAATTTTGTTTTAATAAAAGTCTTTCGATAGATTGAAAGATTTTCATTGGACCAATCGAGTTCATCCGATGGATTGCTTAGTTTTCGATAAAACAGCTCTATAATTATACAGGTATTGACGATATGAACATCCTCCGAGGACAAGACTTGCCGGTTTAATAGCACTATCGAAGGTTGTCTACTTAGATTCTTAAGAGAATATCTAGTAATGTACAACACTTAGGGTATGTTTGCTGATTTATTAGCAAGAATATTTTTCTTTAATTATCAAGTTTTTTTTATCGACCATCAATTTTAGAGCTTTATGAGTCCGACCATTCTTTCCACAAATGAAAATGATTATCTGGACATCGACTGAGAAATATGAATCATCAGAAGATAAAGAGTGCAAATTCATATTCAATGTTAATAATGGAAAATACTCTCACAGTTTCTCTCACTATCATAAAGACGAATGACATAGTTTAGACATATATTGACTTTGGAATGATGCTTGAGCAGAAGACGGTGTGGTTGTGAGTGTAAGGTTTTCTCGCCCATACTCTTATATCGAGCTTAAGACTTAGCGTTTTTTTTTATAGGCCAAATTACAAACACTTTCAGTATCAGATATGACTCACAGAAGTATTTTCTTTTTAGTATAATACACTAAAGTATATTCTATTTTATCGAAAATAAACTGTTTAGAAGCATAGGGGTCTTGAATTTCACGCAAAATGTTTTCTAAATTAATTTTATACAGCAAAAAGCAAATCTTTTCTATATATTATAACTATTAAAATTCCATTTTCTTTCACCTAATCATAAATGTAGAATTTATTAGAAATCAAAATCATTCATTATATACTCACAAAATTATAGAATAAATCATAAATGATATGAAAATTTATACTATGAAATTCATCAATATACAAAGCAAAACTTATTATCAGATGTTCAACAATTCTGAAATCTCAATTATCAAGATTTACGTTAAATTGATCAATTGTACTGAAAACAAAGTGCTTACTCAGATTTTCTTTCATATATAATGATTTCATTGTAACTTAATCTTTTTAAACTGACTGACGACCTGGTTAAAGTTATTAATGTTGACTTTTTTTTGTATCTTATTGTAATAAGAATTTGTCTTAATCAAGTTATTTGAATAACATGCGAAGCGAAATAATAATTAAAGAAAATAGTATGTAAATAATTATAAACACATGATAAGAATAAGAAACTAGATAAACGTTATAGAGATAATTTTTGGAAAATGTGGATTGATTCAATGACCAAAGTGATTAATATATAACTTGGTATAACGTAGAGTAAATGATAGATTTTGTTTCGAATGACAGCTCGTTAAAAATGAAGTTTATGAGTACTGAATAATAAAGATTTCATAACTTTTCATATGTTAAACTCTCTGTATTTGTCATATTTCATGAGATAACGTTCGAAACAAATGTGTATTTTTTTTTTCATGTTTTAATGAATATAACCAATAATCAATATGACGACTGTGAATATTCTGTACTGTACGAAGGCGAGAGCGATACGAGTATTGAATAGTTTCAAATAACTCACTGTATTTTCATGTTTCTCAAAGCATAAATCACAATTGATTGACAATTTATTAAATAAAAAAAGATATCGTCGATTAATCATCAAAAATGATGCGGTTTTAATAATATGAGATATTTTGAGAATCATGAAAATAGACTGAACTATTTGAAACTCTTCAAATACTTGCATTGATCTCGCCTTCGTACAGTAAAGAATATTCACGGTTGTCATATTGGTTATATTCACTAAAACATGAAAAAAGAAATAAACATTTGTTTCGCACGTTATCTCATGAAATATTACAAATGCAGAGAGTTTGACAAATGAAACCCTTTTTTGCGGCGAGCTTTCATTCGACATAAAATCTATTATTTATTCTATTTGAAATCCTAGCAATACTCTCTTGGAAAAATATTATTTCTAATCTAATATTATGTGAACAAGTGGACGATGTAAATATGTATTTGATGTTCTTCATTTATGAATTGTACAACATAAAAGCTAAATGATTCATCACTGTGAAATCTATTTCAGCCAACGTTAAACATTTTCAATCAGGCGAAAGAGAATATATTTCGGAGACAAGACTTCGAAATTAAATGATCCTGTGATTGATATCGTTTCGAATAAAAAACTTGTTTCTGACTATTCATCAGAACATAAAAAGTGACTTGTTAAATATAATTAGTAATGACTGTTGAAATAGTTACCACACGTGAGTAGATGAAAACAAAATCATCATCAATTTATTTTCATGAATATCTATTCAAGATTAAATATATTTTTCGTGAGTACATAAAATTCAGAACAAAAAACCATATGAACAGCAATTAAACATTATCTTTTTAAGCTAAATAATTTCGTCCAAGTTTTCTTTGATCTGGTTTGGAATGTTCTTCTTAATGTATCTTCCGGTGCATATGCCATTGATCATTCTGATAAACTTTGAAGTACATTAGCAAACTTTACACTTTTTTTTCTTTCATCGAACAAAGTACACCAACACTTAATAATACATGCGACAGTTTCATGAGTTCGAAAATTAGATTTTCCATTAGGAGCTTGCCAGACCACTGATTTTACATTCTCTTGTTTGTACAAGTGTGGATGGCGAATGTCAATCTATAAGACAGAGTCAGTGAGACCATTTAATTTTTATACACAAAGATAGAAACCTTTACCTGTACTTTTTTTTTTAATGTCGAATGACTTTGCTAAGGTTTACAAAACTACTATTAACAAGTGTTATATTAAAAAAAAACATATGATACGAAGAATCATTCATCAAAAAACCGATAATTATTACATGAATCTATAAATAAAGCTCTTTTACATGACTAAAAGCTGTAATACAGTCTAAATGGTATCATCAATGAAAAAAAGAGGTAAACATAACAAAAAAGTCACAATACAATACCATCAGACCTATAGAATAGCACACGGTATCACACAATCTATCAATCTATGAATTCAATGTGTATTACTTGCGAACAACTAACTTCCTATTGATTCTTTATTGTATTAGTCATTTAAAAAAAAAAAGAAACAAAAGCATGTGCAAACAAACTGACGGTAAATGATGTTACGCATCAATGCACCGCATGATATTCGATCTGAACGAACAAAAGAAATATCGATTGTTTTAAACTACTTGAAACAATGACGAAGTAATTGAAAATTGCACATGGTTGACAAAGAGAAAAAAGCTCGATGAAAAGAAAAATAGTATATTTCATAAAAAAAAAAAAATAAGGAAGTATTGAGTTGTTTTCTTTTAAATAATGTATCCAACCAAACATCTGAATAGATTAAAGATAATACTTTCGATTCAAACAACTTTCTCGAAGACATGAAAATTGTCTTTTCTTTTCAAATAAATTCTAATAGAAACTTACATAATCTATCTTCAGTAGGAAATTGTTTTTTTTTGCTGGCTTTACGAATGAAAAGCAGGGTCAATAAGAACAAATTTATTTAATGTCAAACTACCCCATAAATACTCACTTTATTATTGAGATTATTCAATGATTGTTTACATCATTCGATTCGACAACTATTTTTCTACTTCATTATATAAAAAAAAAACAAAAATTTTAAGTTTCTTTAGAATTCATTTGACAAAAAATTTCTTATCTTCAACAAAATTGTTTGAATTATGGATATTGTCTATATTTATATTATCTTTAATCTATTCAGATGTATTGTTGAAAAAAAAACAAACAACTCAATATTTGCTTTTTTTATGAGACACACAATTATTTTTTCGATCAAATATATTTTTTTTTCTCTCTGTCTACGATATGTGACCTTTGATTACTTCGTTATTATTTCAAATAGTTTATAGAAATAGATATTTTTTCGGCTTCGGATTAAATGCGTTACATTAAACTGAAGTGTAACATCGTTTGTCATTATTTTGCTCCTACACACGTCTGGGTCGCGTATGACTGATTACATCAATATATAATTGACGAAAACTTGCTTTACCACAAGTGATATACATTGAATTGATAGATGGATAAGATAAATGGTATCGTTTGCTACTGGATAGGTCGAGCGATATTGTATTGTGGATTGGTCATTGTATTTGTTTTTTTTATTGCTGGTATTATTTTGGGCTCCATTGCAACTTCTGATTATGTAAAAG